GGGTCAGAGTTCACCGTAGGTTGGCGAATGCCCTAACTGAGATCCGATTTCTCTTTTATGTCTGTGTTCCTGGCGAAACTCTACCAACTTCTCGATGACAAGATTACTTGCGAAAGATGGAAATGTTGTTAACGAGCACGGAGGTCTAAATTATCGCGTCTCTTCTGCCTCAATTATCTCTTTCTCTTCATTAATGCGCAGCGGCATAGTCAAGTCGCTATGATCAGAGGTGTTTAAAATCTTTGCTAATAGTTCTAGATAGAAAGTTAATTTTGCGAAAATAAAGACGTATTTCTCACTTAATACGATAACTATAGCACTGGATGGTTAACTAAAAAGTGTTTTTCGACAAACGATTAACATTGATGATTACTTAGAGAAAAACAACGACGAGTAACATGAGATTATACAATTGGCAGATGCTGCTACAGTAGCTGTAGTGTCTCGAGTCTAAGTACCATTATAAAATTTAAACTCACGTTATTGATAATTTGAGGTAAGTTCTCATATGGAGCTTAACAATTATATATATTCCGATACAGAATTGGGATATCATAGTAGCTTCAAAGTACAATGCGCTAGGATTTTAATTATACCGTTTCGACCATTTAGAAATTGGAAGGCAGCTAACCTTAAAATCACCGTAGAATTTCCACAAATTACCACCCAATAAATAACCCATTATGGACACCCCTCCCCTCCAAAGAAAAATTACCGATTGGTAATATATTGTTCTTATAGATACATAGTAATATGATAAATTTACTGACCTTTAAAATACTACAAAAGAAGAAACTGTAAATTGCCGCTGCAACAACATCTGACATCTCCAGGATCCCATCCGTTTCTTTTACCAAAGAGGACAATCAAGTGACTCTTGAGTTTTAACTGGGCTCACGATACATGAATGTTTTGGATTTCAACTTGAAGATTTTGAAGCTTCCTCCCGACAACGGCGAGCTCATTTTGAATGTCCAAAAGCCAGTCAAGTCTGTTCTGAGCTTCTTCTTGGTAGGGTTTTCCAATGATTTTCACAAAGTTCTCCAACTTACTTATGCTTTCCAGGAGATCCTTCTCCATGCCCTCTTCTAGCTGTCGAGCTAAGCCATCTGCAACCTTATTCACCTTATCCACCACTGCTTGTCTACGAGCTGGAAAGTTTGAAACTGCTAATAACCTGTCATGAAGATTCTATCATGTGTGAGTCTTGCCTTCTTCAACAGGCTACCAGGAAGTTATAAAGACTCAATCAAGAAGCAACAATATGGTTGGAAGAATAAATCACAAGGATAATTTACCCTCCAGCCGAGCAAAGACCAAGAGCGAGAAGATCTTCTAAGGTGGTAGGCAGCACTGAGGTTAAAAGTGAGGCAGAGAATCCAGCTGCTCCTAGTCCACCAAACGTCCCCAAGAACTGAGATTGAACCAAAAAACAATTTCCTTAGGTTGGTTGAATCCCATGTAAATTC